AAGTACAATCACTGCAGATGTGACATAAAATTTCAAAAACTGCTTAAAAGTAAAATATAAGCTGAAACTTTGCAGTCCCATTGTTGTATATTTCCTGCTCAAACTACTTCTTTTGTGCCATTCCTGCTATGTAGCAATAATTTCCATTAGCTATGCCTATTGTTTAGGAAAACTGCAGCGAAAGTGCCAGCCTAGTTCAGCCATTACACTGCTTGCAACCTACTTTGGTAAATTTTATGTAATAAAAAAATACACCGATCTAGACATTATAATTCTCGTTGTGAAAGCTATTTTAATGGGGAAACACAGTTGTGAGGTTCTTTGCTAGACTAGCTTTTATCCCTTCTTTTACTGTGTGCTTGTAAAAACTGTCAGTTTGGAGATCCAGATAGCTCTCTCACTTCACCTTCCCACTAAAACACAAAACACTTTGGGATTTCAACATGAAAAATGTAAGTATAGAACAACCAGTTAGGGCATTTTTGACCTGAGCGTCTTCCAGCATTATAATAATAACCTCCGCAGAGGGTTTCTGAAGAAAAACACATTGTCCAGATCTACTGCATGGAGGTTGTTGCATAAACACAATGTGTGAGTGAGTGTCAGGTGCCCTGGGAGGAGTGCTTTCTAAGTTTTCAAACTGTAATGGCAAAAGGTCATACCACACTTCATAAAGCTTTCATTGACTACCTTTGAGTGACTTGGAAATACAGTTGTGCTTTGAATGATGCAAACCAGTCGATCAAAGCCATGACAGTTAAGCAGGAGGACATTTTCTGCTATTTCAACAAACAATTAGGTTGTCATTTTATTTGCCAACATCCGTCCCGACTGGTCGTAGGTTCTGCAGCTCCTTTTTTAGGGCAGCACGTTCATATGCTAAAGCTCAAATAAAATGGCAGCTATTAAATTCATATTTCCCATCTAAAAAAGCTAAAGATCAACTAAATATTCAGCACTGGCTTGTGAAAATAAATGAATGTTAGCAGGTCAACTGTGAATAATACCATCCCAGGAAAAAATGTGCAGGTATGAATGGTTTCTCTTATTGAGTGGCATTTCATAAGAAGCCTTCCTGCACAAAAACACAGGCACTGAAAAGGCTAACAGTCATGACCAGAAAAAGCAAAACAGTCATTAGTTCCAAAATGTTATCCAACATTCAGCAGTCCAAGGCTTTTGATCACTAAAACAATCATTTTCTTTGATGCTTTTTAGTTCACTATCATAGTAACTATTCAGCAACTGAAACTGTTACTGAATATGGGGGCCACTCTGCAAAAATTATTTTTTTGCCAGTAAATATTTAACACCTAGGTGCCCAAGAAGAAAAATCCAGAATTTGTTCAAAATAATATATTTTTTGCCACAGTAAGAAAGCCTACAGATCAAAAATGGCAAAATTTCAAGAAAGGGACACGTCTCTAATTGTAGAGCCGGGCTATCGGTCGACTGGGCTTCAGGCTTGTGCTGCAGTCCGACGCATCACTGATACGGAAGAGGAAAGGATTCAATAAAAAATACTGACGATAAAACAGAGCGTGGTTTGGCAACAGAATGATCCCAATCAAAGGTTTCAAGTACCGCAGGAGGTATAAGCTGAGGGTTTTGCCATGGTCTACTACAGCATAAAGGGAAATCAGTGCTCAGACTCTAAAAGAGCGACCCATGCAAAATCGATAGGGGGAAAATGTTTAGACTCATATGTCTTCATAAAGATGAGCTATAAACACTTTATAAGCTTTGAAATCTGCCAAAGTCGGTGGGGCAAAACCTTTACTGCATGTTTTTTTTTTCATTTTTGTTATCTGCAAATTGTAAAAAATAACTGAAAAGTGTTTTTATGCAGTTGAACTTTCTTCCCTTTGAAGAACATTTCATCATCTAAATGTAAGTAGCTAGCAACCAGAGAAATGACCAGGACCGTAAATATTGTTGCATGTGAACTAATTCCTAAACTCTTCATGGTAATTTTGTCAGTGGAATAAAATCAAGCAGACATAAGAAATAACTGCGCTAACAAGTTGGTGAAAACACGAAAAAAGCCACAAAAACTTCAACAGAAATTTCAACTGGTTATAAACTGTGTGCAAAGACAACTTACAAAGAAACGTTTCTGGTCTTGCATGAAAACAGTCCAGTCCCGTACATTTCCAATACAAAAGTGCTTCCAGGATTGAGTTGGACTGGGTTGAAGGAGGCTGCACATATTAATTTACTTCATGCAAACCATCAACACAGTCAACATCATCATCTGTGGTAAACGCAAACCTGCCTGCCAGAGTGAGACTGCACTCACTCAGCCTTACACACAGATGACAGTGACAAATGGGGCTGCAGATTGGAAAATGAGACAAAAGGAAAAACATTAAATAAAACCCCTTATCGTCCACTTTTTGAAAGGGTCTGAAATGGGTAGAAAAGGGTGGGGCTGTCAGCAGAAGATCCAGAAGCGAACATCACAGTCCCATATGAAAACGGAGCAGCGCAGCAATCTGACAACTTCAGGAAACAATTTCATCTCACAAGACATCCCATCTGCAACCACGTCAGGAAGCCTGCGAGAAGGGCTCCTCTGCTGTGCCCTCCATATCAAACGAGATGTTTCTACTTTAGAGTAGTCATTTCGCAAACGTGCCTTGTGAGATTGGTGCATCTACTTGACGATGTTTAACGAATGACCCTGTTGGTGTTTAGCTTGGCTGGGCATGCATTTTGAAGAGCTCCATTCACATGACTCTGTAAAAAGTCATGACTTGCTTGTTTAAGAGGACACAGATGAGAAGAATAACGATTCCTGATGTGATTCATCGCAGCATACGAGTAAGTGCAGAGAGCTCTGGGAGCAAACAGAGTATAAATCAGCACTTTGAGTCGTTATTGTGCTAATTTCTCACACCTGCCCCTGGGGAGCTTTTTGATTAGCAGCTTCACAGCTGTTGCTCCACTTGCAGCAGTTTATCTCCATAAATGATTGCTGATAAATTCTCCAGAGACTGAAGCCGAGTTCCCTTGAGATATAAAATGTGAGACTTAAAGAGGCAGGCTGCGATATGATATGAAGAGAGTCCTGTTGTGCTCATTAGTGATGGAAGACAAAGTTTGCTGGCATGTTCTGTTTTCCAAATGCATTTCTGAATAAATAAGATGTGGCATTTTGACATGGCATTTGTTGCACCCAATTTTGGACCGAGTATCAAAGTAAGACTTTCCATAGTATCCTAAAGTTACAGGTTTTTGAACTGAAAAAGTGGTCCATCATGTCTCAGAAAGATGTCATTGTTGATCATGAGCATTGTTCAAACAAAAAACCCCGTAGTGTATATAGCTGAGTAGATACCACCCATCTGGTATTAATTAAAGGGACTTCTTTAACATCATGGTGTGTTTCAGAGTTCAGGTTTAAATGTTTATTCATTTATTTTCTTTGAATTGTTGATTAGTGATAACACTTAAAGTATATACATGTATTAACTACTCCTATCAGATTCATTGCTTTTTGGGTGAAACTTGCCTTAAAACAATAATAAAAATCACACGTTTTCATGGTAACATCATTCAGTACTCTTTTCTTTCCTTTTCTGTTACCTTAAGGTTTAACTAGTATTTTGCCCTTTTTGTTGTTACTGTAGTTTATTTGTTATTCCTCTGTAGGATTACAAAACCAGCTCTTTACTGTCAAATAACACCCAGCAGCAGCACAATATAGCTCTTACTGTGGGTCCAGGGGTCAGGTCTGACAGGAACGCCTTAATATTTTAGCATCAAAGGTTCCTATATTATGTCTGCTGATGTTTTGTTGAAACTCTGGACATGAAATCCACCTTGGTGTTGGCTAATCTGGAACTAGCCTGATGTTAAAGCAGTACTTGACTCATATTTTTAATACATCTTCAGTGCTCTCTAGTAGGAATGAATGCCTCTTAAGTTGTACTCTGAGGGGAAAAAAGCTCTGGTGAACCGGTTTCAGGGGCTAGAAGTGAGCCAGATCAGAGATGAGATGAGCACAACAGGATTTGGAGTCTTGGTCCCTGATATTCAGACATCTCTTCTCTGATTGGCTAACAGCAACACAACTCTATTACTGACTCTGCTCTGCAATGTTGATGTTTTATCTCCACAAATAACACAAGCCTGGAGGAGTTCTGCTGTGTGGTGGAGTTGCTAATGCTAACAGTTAACTTCTACTAGTCTAGACATTCTCAGCTGTTTCTCAGCCTTCCCCGTCGTGAGTCTAGATGGGTTTATCCTGGATACAGTCAGCTGCATATTAATCCCAGTAAAGTGATCCAGTCTGACCTGGACAGTGCAGCGTTCCAATGGTCAGCCTTACAGTAATGGCTCGTGGGAAAGAAACAGCCAATATGAAAAGGCACAAAACTGGTAGCATAAAACAAAGATAAGTCAGATTCAGTGTAATGACGTGGTTTTCTAATGTGCAAGATTTGATTTGTTTTTCTTTGTATATTTTGATAAAACAATTGTTGCTCCATGAATCCATCACTATGGACTACATAGGCTTTAAATGTCCACTGGTAGCCGATTTCTGAGGTCAGTGTTTTAACAGGGTGGCTTAAGAACAGTGAAGTGTCCACAATTCCCTAATGTTTAATCAATTTTAATTTAAGAGTGGCTTTAAGCCATGTCTGTGAATGCAGCTTGCAGGCTTAAAGAGAACCCGTGAGATGGAGTTAAAGCTTTTCTTTTGAGAAACTCATACAATCCACAGGTATCAACGTCATCATGGTGACCACATGCATAATCAGTATATTATGACTATATTGTGAATAGAACTTGTTAAAAAACGACTTTTGTGATATGTAAAGGAGCATTTTATTGCTTAAAAACTTAAATTTAAAGCAAATTCTATAAAGTAAACAGATGTAATCTGGATTTAACCTTTGTTCAACTTGTTTGCTCATCAAAAACTTACAGGTGAGGTATAACAATTAATGTTGGAACTAATGTAAAAAACAACACATAATGGGTCAATGACTGACCTGCTGGAGAGATTGAGCAGTTCGTGCTTGTCGGCGGCCGTGGACTTGTCTTCCAGCTCCCACATCAACACGCTGATGAGGTGGGAGTTTTTGATGACAATAGGGACCTCCTCGAACATATTCTCAAAACCAATGCTGGCCTTCTTCAAGCTGCAGACAACAACAATTAAAAAATGTCAGAGATGTGCTAATTTACTCATATTACACAGGTGTCATACGATATTTTATAATGTAATTTTATGCTTTTAATTAGGGATGTGTATTGGTGAAATTGTGGCGATACGCATTACGATACAGGGGAGATGATACAATATACCGTGATATATTGCGATACATTCAGCCAGATGATATTAGTGATTTTTTTAGACTGAAATTATTGTAGGAAATTCAATAAAAAGTCCAAACTGATACTTAACATGTTTAACATGAGGTATCTGAAGGTGATTTTAAGGTGCTTTTATAGGACACACCATGCCGGCATGTCGGCGTAATATTACCGCAATGGTATGTCTATGAATGCGCCCTGCCGGCATGGCGTTGCGCAAATATTGTGGCATTTGTTCCGCCTCACTTGGTAGTAATATTGCCGCATCAGCCCCTCGCCTCTGACGGCTAAACGCGTGTCAGCCCTGCTAAATCCCTTTGGAGCGACTGTGGGAGGCTGCCCGCAAAAAAGGGTGGTCGCGTTAGTCACGTGTACGTCACGTGTACTGCGCACCGGGTGCCGGCCGGAAGCAAAGCCGGCTGGATGGACGCGGAGACCATGGAGCTTTTGGCCATGCGAGCGGACGAACAGATTAGTCGCTTTTTTACGGGGACGGTGAGAGACAGCCAGCTGTTCGACAGAGTGGTGAAGACACTGGCTGAGCGGGGCGTCAAGTGGGACAAAAAGCAGGTCACATCAAAGCTAATGGCCCTGAAAAAGAAATTTCATCAGTCTGACGTGTCTTCCGTCTGATGTTGAATGCACAACCCTGTACGTCACATGCGGGGGGGGGGGCCCGCCCAGCGACCTCCCTATATCCCGTCTTGGTTGGAGAGGTGTCTGATGGCAGTTTATTCTAGCTTCAACTTTGCTACGATAAATGCCAAAATCCTCCCCAGGGTGCTGCAGCAAATCCCGTTTTGAAAACGCCATGGTCCTATAAAAACAGCTTGAAACATAACAGAGGGATTTACATTTCAATGGTGGAAACAAAACCCATTGTACACTGCTGCCTACTAGCGGTCGGCATTTGAATTGCACCGAAAGAAAAGAAAATACACAAATGTTTGTATGTAAATTCTTCCAAAAATTCAATATACAGTGGTGTGAAAAACTATTTGCCCCCTTCCTGATTTCTTATTCTTTTGCATGTTTGTCACACAAAATGTTTCCGATCAACAAATGGTAAATGGTAAATGGCCTGTATTTGATATAGCGCCTTCTAGAGTCCTGGAACCCCTCAAGGCGCTTTACAACACAATCAGTCATTCACCCATTCACACACACATTCACACACTGGTGGGGATGAGCTACGATGTAACCACAGCTGCCCTGGGGCGCACTGACAGAGGCGAGGCTGCCGAGCACTGGCGCCACCGGTCCCTCTGACCACCACCAGCAGGCAACGTGGGTTAAGTGTCTTGCCCAAGGACACAACGACAGCGACAGACTGAGCGGGGCAACAAACATATTTAAACATTAGTCAAAGATAACACAAGTAAACACAAAATACAGTTTTGAAATTATGTTTTTTTTTTATTTAGGGAGAGAACAAAATCCAAACCTACATTGCCCTGTGTGAAAATGTGAAAACGTAATTGCCCCCTGAACCCAATAACTGGTTGGTCCTCCCTTAGCAGCAATGACTGCAATCAAGCGTTTGCGATAACTTGCTACGAGTCTTTTACAGCGCTCTGGAGGAATTTTGGCCCACTCATCTTAGCAGAATTGTTGTAATTCAGCTTTATTTGAGGGTTTTCTAGCATGAACCGCCTTTTTAAGGTCATGCCATAGCATCTCAATAGGACTCAGGTCAAGACTTTGACTAGGCCACTCCAAAGTCTTCATTTTGTTGTTCTTCAGCCATTCAGAGGTGGATTTGCTGGTGTGTTTTGGGTCATTGTTCTGCTGCAGCACCCAAGATCGCTTCAGCTTTAGTTGACGAACAGATGGCCGGACATTCTCCTTCAGGATGTTTTGGTAGACAGTAGAAATCATGGTTCCATTTATCACAGCAAGCCTTCCAGTTCCTGAAGCAGCAAACCAACCCCAGACCATCACACTACCACCACCATATTTTACTGTTGGTATGATGTTCTTTGTCTGAAATGCTGTGTTACTTCTATACCAGATGTAACGGGACATTTGCCTTCCAAAGAGTTCAACTTTTGTCTCATCAGTCCACAAGGTATTTTCCCAAAAGTCTTGGCAATCACTGAGATGTTTCTTAGCAAAACTGAGACAAGCCCTAATGTTCTTTTTGCTTAACAGTGGTTTGCGTCTTGGAAATCTGCCATGCAGGCCATTTTTGCCCAGTCTCTTTCTTATGGTGGAGTTGTGAACTTTGACCTTAATGGAGGCAAGTGAGGCCTGCAGTTCTTTAGAAGTTGTCCTGGGGTCTTTTGTGACCTCTCGGATGAGTTGTCTCTGCGCTCTTGGGGTAATCTTGGTCGACCGCCCACTCCTGGGAAGGTTCACCACTGTTCCATGTTGTTGCCATTTGTGGATAATGGCTCCCACTGTGGTTCGCTGGAGTCCCAAAGCTTTAGAAATGGCTTTATAACCTTTACCAGACGGATAGATCTCAATTACGTTTGTTCTCATTTGGTCTTGAATTTCTTTGGATCTTGGCATGATGTCTAGCTTTTGAGGTGCTTTTGGTCTACTTCTCTGTGTCAGGCAACTCATATTTAAGTGATATCTTGATTGAAACAGGTGTGGCAGTAATCAGGCTTGGGGGTGGCTACAGAAATTGAACTCAGGTGTGAAACACCGCAGTTGGGTTATTTTTTAACAAAGGGGGGCAATTACTTTTTCACACAGGGCAATGTAGGTTTGGATTTTTTTCTCTCCTTAAATAACAAAAACCATCATTTCAAAACTGCATTTTGTGTTTACTTGTGTTATCTTTGACTAATGGTTAAACGTGTTTGATGATCAGAAACATTTTGTGTGACAAACATGCAAAAGAATAAGAAATCAGGAAGGGGGCAAATAGTTTTTCACACCACTGTACGGCTTTTGAATATCGATAAAATATTGCAGGAAAAAATATTGCGATATGTTGTGATATCAATATTTTTTTACATCCCTACTTTTAATTAAAGCTTCCTTCCGGACTATTTCTCTTATCCAATGGCACCATCTAGTGGTTGACAAGCATATCACACAAAAACGCTGTTCCTCAGTTTTTTTTTAGATGGCGACTTCACGTTTCTGTTTATAAATGTGCTTCTGTAGCCGATAAACAGCTAAAACACATTGTTTTACGAGTATTATTCTCATTTCATGTTGTGTTTTCATATATTTATATTTTAGAGACTTTCTTGTCCATGAAAAGTTAATCAACTCTGCATCAGCCAAGGTATTCCTTTAATTTGAAGCGTCTAGGCAGTAGTCTATCGCTATTAGTTAGTTCTGGTCGGCGCTCGGTTTCCTATTGCTCTGCCAGGCAGGGGGCGTGGTTAGCAAAAACAAAAAAAGACGTATTGCTTATATTATATCACAGTACATGATAAGATAATCACTTTTACGAATTTCTGACAAATCATACATAATTTCTGAAAGAGGAAGACTCCGGATAGCAGCTTTAATGCCAAATAGACACAAAATAAGTAAATACTGGCATTTTTAAACACTCATTTCTCTTTGTAGATTTTTGTTATTGTGACTCTGTTTAGAAGACAAAAAGAAAATAGAGAACACCACTAAATCCTTATTTTCCAGCCTGATGAGACATCAGGGTGATATATTTATTGGTTTCTGAGACATCCAGTGGTTTTTAAAGGAGCCATCTTGCATAACAACACAAAGGAGTGAGGCAGTGTGGAAAATTAATCTTGAACAAATAAAAATAAGCCCCAGAACAAAAAAAAATAATAATAACAAAAAACTTAAAAATCTTGGCTGGTCCAGAGCGATTCGGAATAAAAAGAGAAATGTTATTCCCCTTAAGGTCATTTGTATTCAAGTCCTAAAATCTGCGCATCTCTTTTAATAAACAACAAGGATTTGTTGCAACAATTCCAGCGGCTGAAAATTAAGCTGCATAAAAACACCCAAACAAACAACAACTAAGAGTAGCTGTCCTATGTTTTCGGATTCAGGCAGCACAAGCTGTCCCTCTGCCTCCCAATAATCAATGCCCTCTCTTTCTTTCTGACAGGAGTCTGTTAGCACAAAATGGTTCTTTTACCTTTCCTAATGTCCCACATAAATCTATTTAGAGTGACTGACTGTGTATGTCTCAGGCTGTTTGGTGTTTGCTCTGGGATCAATACTCTTGCTGCATTATTCTACTCTGCACCATACCTCAAACTAAATGTTTATAAAATGCTTGTCTGAGTGATAAACCGGAATGTGGAGCATCATCTGACTCTGTCATTTATATGGTTTGTATTCTATGTAGAGCATCACCCCGGGCTACCTTAAGGATGCGACTCTGAGGCACAAAGTTTAGCCTGGAGCTCACAGCAGAGGACAACTCGTTTAGGTATGGTTATAAGGAGCCCTTTAGGAAAAATCCATAACTATCTTGGCACTGTTTTAAGATTTTGACACAATTATAAATCTGGAGTACTTTAAAGTGTTTGATGCATACTGTGACCTTTCCGAATGGCTGCAGCGTGACATAAAACGCCATCCATGAGGAACCAGGAGGACAGCACACTCCACCATAGGCAGGACAAATTGCTCAACCCTTCTGGAACTTTGGCGTGCTTAATGTCATGCTGCCTGAAAGTTGGATGAAGCCAACAGAGGACTCCACAGGCAGACTAATTTGATGCTTTAGATCGTGTGCTGAAGTGGACACTATTGACCGCTGCCTGTACAGCCCAGTGGAGATTGAGGGCAGTTCAAAGAAATCTGGCCACTCAACGCTCATCTATCCGTGCCTTTCATTTCAAATAGGTGAGCAATACATGCAAGCTTCTGGAACATCAAGTACAGCAATCTGAAAGAAATCCTTTTTACAAAGGGCCGTGGCAGGGGAGGGAACACCTGGAGTTTTGCATCTTAGTTTGAAAGGAAGCGGGAGAGAAATTCTACATTAATATTCAGATTTCAGTCAAATCTAAAAAACAGAGTAGAAAACTAAAATGCAGTTATGTGCCGATATTGTCCTTTACTGTCCTGGCCTGTTTCAATCATGGGCTTGTTGGGAACACTGATAGTGACGGATTGGAGCTATAATAAATCATAAGAACTAATGAAAAGCTGCAGAAATGAGAGGGCTCCTGACTCTGGGCCAAACACAGCAGGTCAATAGCAGACCGGCGAGCCAAAGAGACAAATGTGTGGGAAAAATACAGAGGGAATGGAAAAGAGCTATGAAAAGGCACTTTAAAATTGCCCTTCTTCCTGAAAACACACTTTACAAGAGTGAGTACGTAAATCTGAGGCTTCTGAGTGAACCTCTGGCTTTTCTTCATTGGACAAATACACCCGCTTTTGTCTCAACACGTGCGAAGTCCCCTCGTGAGCGTGCTTATGTTTGCCAGAGAGGGTACACTCGGACTGCTGCGAACTGCCAGGAAAATGGTCCCCTCATTACGTTCATTTTTAGCTGCAATTTAAAAGCAATTATGATAAGCCTTGAGGTCAGAATAAGCGTAAACATGGTACATTTTTTTGACGGGCAAGGGCGAGCTGATAAATCATCATCATCAACATCCATCTCCAACTGCCATTAAATGACTCCCCTGTGGATGCACCAGGCTGTATTTGCATCCGCTGAATAAACAGAATTAAAAGGGTGAAAAAGCTAAAAATGTTAACTTTACATCGCTATAAGTAGTGTTAGCTGATGTGTTGAGATAAACATAAAAGTACAAACAACACATTCTGTGTGTGTGTGGGGGGGGGGGGGGGGGGGGGGCATATCATTGTAAACTACTCACCCTTCTGGTGTGAAGTCTTTCTCTTTGCAGATCTCCATAAGCTTTGGTGTGAGTCTGTAGGCTTTGAGGGACAGGGAGCCCTGGGCCGTTTTTATTGGGTCTACAATCAGAAAATCACAAATCCACTGTTTGAACAAACAAATCTTTACTGATTTGATCCTTTTAATGCAATTCTGTTTAGGTTCAGAAACAAAGAAACTGGACTTCTTCACTTGCTTGAGGGTGTTTCACTTCTTATCTGGGGACTTTTCTCAAGTCAAACAAATAAAATGCAAATAATTATGCTTTTAAACTATAACAAGAGCTTTGTTGTCAGATAAGACGGTTTGTAAATCACCTATAGAATCCTCCATTTGATGTGGGGAAGGGTTTCGCTGTTGTAGCTTGTAATTTTCTCGCTGAATAGATAACACTTTGACAATGAGAGAACCTTCACAGACAACGTTTTACAAATAAATCATAATATTTCAAACATGTTAGATTAGAACACATTATTTCAGAAAACCTTTACTCATTTTTACTTTAAACCTGCAGAACATTTCTGAAACTGTTCAGAATTTTTTCATGGATCAACAGTTTTGTGCTCATTACCCAAAAGCCCAAAGATGAAGGCTTAGTTCCACAAAAACCAGAATAATTTCTATTGGATAAAAAAATACAAAATCCTCATCACCTTTACACAAATGCTGAATAATCTGGAATACAAACAGTATTTACCAAATAGTTTATCATAAGTGTACTTTTATACGACCTAAAAACGTCATGTTGGGATTTACAACACTCCAAAGCATGCAAAGTGCCTAAAATAAAAACAATTACTTAAAAGTGATACAGCCTCTACAATCCCGATTCCCTTTTAATATGTTCACCTCTTTATTTTTGAGTGTTCACACTCTCCTGAGCCTCCCAGGTAAGGACTATTCAGGGGTTCTGGAGAGGAGGGTCAATCGGATTGTCGAACCTCAGATTCAGGAGGAACAAAGTGGTTTTCAAAACTTTCTTGCAAATCCTTTATGTGCTCGACACACGGGAGGCGACAAACGACCGCGAAATTTGTCGCTGTCGCTTTTATTACCTGTCACACGGGAGGTGATCCGCGGCAGCGGCCAGCGGCAAAGCCGTCTACGCGTTCTGTTCCATGGCGAAATCGAAACTTCCGTTGTTTTGTTTGGCTGTGTCACGTTGGAGGGAATTAAGGTTATTTAAGCGGTTCAGAGTTAATAAAGTGGTAGATATGATGTTTCACAAGGTGCTGCTAGAGTTATGTGAAATCTTACTTCTGATTTTACTATATAATAATAATAATAATAATATAATAATAAATATAATAATAATAATAATCAACTTCTCCTTCATGTTTGCTCGGAGATGTGCGGAGCATTATGTCCGCTCATTGGTCAGTGAATGAAACCTCTGTTGATTGATCCTCGTCCGAGCGACAGCGATGAAAAGTTGAACATGTTTCAACTTCCTGGGATCACGTCGCTGGGTCGTCCGTGCACGGCACGTGCATGAGTGTAAAATTTCACACGCACGTTTTTCACGTTTCGCTAGAGAGACCCGCAATTATCGCTTTGTCGCGCATGTCTCATTGAAAATTAATGGAGAGGCGATGTCGCCTCCCGTGTGTCGAGCCCATTACAATGTTCATTATGTCATCTTTTTAAATATTAAACAAGGTTCTTTTTGCTTCGGACATGAAGGTGCGAAGCAAAAAGAACCTTGTTTAATATTTAAATGTGGTTTTCATTCTGGCCGTGGAACACCGAGCCAGCTCTATACCCTTAGGGGGATCTTGGAGGGTGCGTGGGAATTTGCCCAACCAATCTACATGTGTTTTGTGGATTTGGAGAAAGCTTTCGACCGCGTCCCCCGGGGGACCCTGTGGGGGGTAGTCTGGGAGTATGGGGTACCAGGCCTTCTGATACGAGCTGTTAGATCCCTGTATGACCGGTGTCAGAGCTTGGTCCGCATTGCCGGCAGTAAGTCGGGCTCGTTTCCCGTGAGAGTCAGGGGCGGCGTTAGGCCCGGCTACTTGGGCTGAAGCCCCGGATCTTTCATGATAAGCCCCGGATCTAAATCGCGGAAGTAACATGCAGTACCAAAGTCCAACAGAGAAAGCGCAGCTGGCAGTAGTTTGTAAAGTCCCATTTAGTCGTCACACACACACACAGGTGAAATTTATTCTCTGCATTTGACCCATCCCCTGGGTCAAAATAGCTCGGGAACTATTTGGTGGTTTAACCCCCCAATCCAACCCCTTAATGCTGAGTGTCAAGCAGGGAGGCATTGGGTCCCATTTTCTTTGGTATGACCCGACCAGGAGTCGAACCCCTGATCTACCGATCTCAAGGCGGACACTCTACCACTAGGCCACTCAGTCGGTATACAGCCTGCCTGAGCCTCCACCACTGAAGAGAAGCCCTTCAGCAGCTGGCTTCTTCTACAGTCTCTGTCTGAAACGCATGAGTGAAGATGGACATAAGGACGTTTTTAGACCAAAAGTACAACGACAGAACCCCAGCTCTGATGAGACTGGTGTTGACTCAGGTTTGTGAGTCTTATTTGAAAATATTTGTTGTGCTGCTGGTTTGCCTAAAGTTAGCTTACTATCAGGTAAAGTTGTTGGAGAAAGAAAGGGAATATTTACTATCATCTCACAATAAACACTAACAGGAACAATACTCTGCCCTGAATATGCTTACTATGTAGCTTCAGATTAAACATTATGTGGTACAAGATATATATATATATGATGTTGACTAGTGCGTGTCACGTGTGTGCGCGCATGCGTGTGTGCGCGTGCGCGCATGCGTGTGTGCGCGTGCGCGTGTGTGTGTTAAGCCCCGGATCTTCTTCAGTCCTAAATCCGCCCCTGGTGAGAGTTACTGCCAAGTAGGGCTGCAACAACGAATCGATGAATTCGATGAAAATCGATTACTAAAAGCGTTGGCAACGAATTGCGTCATCGATTCGTTGTGTCGCACAACTCTTCCAAAAGCGCCCCCCCCCCCCCCCCCTTCCCGCCCACCGTTGCGCGCAGACCAGAGCAAGTCAGATCAGCGCGAGGGAGAGCCGCAGATCAGCGCGAGGGAGAGCCGCAGATCAGCGCGAGGGAGAGCCGGTACAGGCAGATCAGCGCGAGGGAGAGCCTGCAGACTTGCGCTGCTGCGAACCGGTTCCGCATTGTTGCACAGCGATCCAGGCAGCTGCTTCCAGCGCACGGTCCATTCTCAAAGTGGCGCAACCAAAAAACTATAATTAGCACACGATCGTTCTTGTCTGCACATGTTCTCTATTTTCTGTCTTATTTGTGCCTGAAGCGCTCTGCTGCGGAGCTCATCACCTGTGCTGTGGTGATTTCACCTCACGCAGCATCGAAAACGCGCTCTCCGCTTTGCGGTCAGGAGATCTCTTTGATCTGCTCAAAAGTAACTGATGAGGTGAAAAAGTAAGAATCCAGGCAACAGATGTTCTGGAGAATTATGAGGAGATGCAGGAAGATGAGAGACAGACAGGACAGGAAAATAGTTAAATAAAAACAAGAAAACAAAGTAAAATGTAGGTAGATTTATCTCCACTACACGTTTTTACCAGTAAAAAACAATAAGTTATACACATGTCATAGTTATACATCTGATACAATTCAGATCACCTTCAAAACTCAGTCACACACCCAGGGCCGTTTCAAGACATTTTGGGGGCCAAGGCAAAATGTCTCCCCCCCATATCCCCCTTCCCCCCCCCCCCCCCCCCCCCCCAATAACTGGGCTCCCCAGAAGCCTCTGTGTAATTCATGCCCTCTCCAGGAGTATTAGTTATACAGTGTTTATAAAAGCCCCTCAGACATTACTGACATGTTCTAATATTATCAGATGAAAAACTAAATTATCAGACATGCTGTCTCATCAGCTTCTTTTCTAAACTTGCAAAAAGTAACAAAACCATTTGAAAGCCACTATTTGTGGATTCTCTGAAAGTTTCCATGGAGTGTGTGACAACTTATTTTTTCATTGATCCTATTGTCTAATCTCACAGCTGAAACAAGCATCCTTAATAATCTGTGCACAGGAAGCTTACCGATGCTGTAGTAAAACAAAAGTTATAATAATTTATTATTAATAAAACCTTGTTGCAGCACTAAAGCATAAAAATGAGATTTTGCATTAAATATGCAAAATATTTACATATGAATTGTTTTAGAGCCCTTTTATTGGCAGAATCTGATATTAATTTAGTTCTTACAAAAAATGGGTCCCAACATGGTTTGTGTGGCGTTGCCATAGTGTGACGTCATAGGCACAGATCCCCTGTCCTCTTGTTTGGAAATGGAAATATGATCACCCTACATTAAAAAAACTGTCCACCCGGGCTTTTGCGCTGCACAGAGACGCTTTGCTGACTATGACTTCGAATGTCAGTTGAGAGTCAGTCTCATGCAGACTGACCAATGAAGAGAGGGCCTCAAGTTAAGACCCTCTCCTCATTGGTCAGTCCACACGAGGTGGGTCAAAGGTTACTCTGGGCGGGTTATGTGTTGTCAGGCATTCAAGTATTGAGTATATTTACTGCATATTACAGTAAAATATTCTGTATGTGACCACATTATGGTGATCCTCGGGTCGTGATGATGGAGCCCTTGAATATTGTTGCCCAGGGTACAACAAAGTGTTAATCTGGCCCTGGTTCCGCCGTCACATTCCCGCAGAAACTGGTTGATCACACCGGGGCCAGACTACTAGCATGTGGTTTTACAACCACAATGTCCTCGGAAGCAAAAACGCTTTTAAAAGGGAGGGAGGAGTCCTAACTGTTGCTGCAGGCGTGTTGTGTGAGAGTGCAATTATATACTGGTTAATATATTTTTGGGTTCAGTTGCTTTCATGTGGCCTAATGTGAGTCTATTTGGGATCATTGGAATGATCAGCAGCATTTCTTGATGTGACTTTATGGCAGTTGCCCAGGGCATCATCGCAAGGAGAATGGCATTCATTTACTTTTGTTTTATTTGGTATTTTTTCAGTCATTTTTGGAAATAGTGATCAATTTTGATTAATTCACAGCCTATGTTTAATTACATTTAAAATAAATGTCAACAGA